AGTGTAATTTTCATTTTAGCGTAATTTAGACGATAATTTATCTATCGCACCCCGTATATCTGTTAAAATGGGATATCAGTGTTATTTTCATTTTTGCGTAATTTAAACGATGATTTATCTATCGCACCCCGTATATCTGTTAAAATGGGATATCAGTGTTATTTTCATTTTTGCGTAATTTAGACGACAATTTATCTATCGCACCCCGTATATCTGTTAAAATGGGATATCAGTGTTATTTTCATTTTTGCATAATTTAAACGACAATTTATCTATCGCACCCCGTATATCTGTTAAAATGAGATATCAGTGTTATTTTCATTTTTGCATAATTTAGACGACAATTTATCTATCGCTCCCTGTATGTGTGGAATGGGCCGGCAAGACTATATTTAGATGCAGTGGCCAGATTAAAAATGTTGTACATTTTTTTTTCTTTTTGTATCAAAATTCAATGTTTTTAAATGTATCCAGTAACTTTTAAATAAATTCACTTTTATTGTAGTGTTCGATAAGAAGGACATGTAATATAATATTTGTTAAAATAGAAATTTCGCATTCATTTTTAAAGTTCCGACCTGTCACCGTCCAGGGTATGACAATAAACTACATCCGCGTCCATGGTAAGACGATAAACTATGTCCGACAGCAAGGCCTCTGATCAGGAGGTTTTGAGAAGCATTGAACCACCCCTTAATTTCTGGTATTCCCAGGTCCACCCTGATACCTGGTGATAGCACTTGTTAGGGTACCAGTTATGAGCAAATAATTAACCACCAAACAGGGGTCAAAACACTATGAAAGTGTAAAAATAGCTTTTAATACCAGAAATACTTTGTAAAAAAAATTATTACCAGCAATATGTTTTTGGAAAGCAAATATTACCAGCGAAGGAAAATTATTACCAGAAATAGATTTTTGAAGGAAAAATATTGGCAGAAATAGATTTTTGAAAAAAAGTATGACCAACAATGAAAATTTTGACGGCATTAAATAACCCATCGATGCTGATATTCTGTAAAACAAAACAAACCAAACCAAACTGACCTGTTATGTTTGAACTGCTTTTTTTCTATCTTTGGTAAAACTTTACTCGTCTTTCATGAAGACTAAAGATTTTGCAGCCATGTGACCATTATTACTGTTCTTTTCTTTTTACGAGCACTCCTTATCATACTAATGTTTTGCATACTAATCGTTATCATCCTAATGTTCACATAATACAATAAAAATCTTGTTTAGAAGCATTCACGATTGTTTTATTTCCTCTTTTAAGCTATTTCCTACCTTTGATAAAATATAGCATTATACGAGGTCTGTCTGAGAAGTAATGGGACTGGTGTCACAAACAATTTCAATTCCAAACAATAAACTACGTGGTTTCCTCTTCAAAGTAATCCTCCTCTAGTTTAACGCACTTTTCCATACTTCTCTGCCAAGCTTCTATGTACTGCTGGAAGGATTCTTCTTGGATGCCTCCTCAACTCCGTCGTTAGGGACCTCTTGATCGCCTCCACGCCTTCAAAACGGATCCCCTTGAAGATCCTCTTGAACTTGGGGAAAAGAGAAACGTCACACGATGAAAGATCAGGTGAATAGGGAGGTTGTTCTAGTACGGTGATGTTTCTTCTCGGCCAAGAACTGTCGGATTCTCAGGGCGTTCCGAGTACTGTCGTGGTGAAGCAGCCACGATTTCTCCTGTCACAACTCTCGTCTCTTCTCACGCACTGAGCGAAGCAAACGCCACAAGATCTAATTGTAGACTTGCTGACTGGCCATGGGGAGAGAACTCACTGTAGACGACGCCACTCAAATCGAAGAATGGATAAGTCACGTAACTTTTCAGACAGACCTCGTATAACGAACGAAACAGCTCAAAAGAGACTCGGTCTAAGTCGTTACTCAGAGTTTCACGTAGAGCGATTGTCGGATGACAAAAACCCACGTGGGAAATTCGAAGTAACGATTTCGCCGTTGTCACTTGGTGCAGTTTCGTTGCTTATTGTTATTGCTCTCTTTTTGGTAGATTTGCTGCAGTCATTGAACATTTTAGGTTATTGGTTAGTTAGGCATCTGTCTTGTCTTTTGTAACTTTCTTTTCCCTTCTTTTGACGCTTTTCTTCCTTTTTGTTCTTAATTTCATTTTCAGGTTCTTTTCTTTTTATTATAAATTATAATAAATTGTTTTGTTAATGATAATAAATAAATTTAATAATTGTTTTGTTAATAAATAAATCATAAAAAACTACACTTTTTATCATCATAATTTAAGTGTGCTGCGGAAGTTTAACTATAGATTCAAATGTGTCTAACTGCTAAATGCTCAAAGCGATGTGAGCCGTGACATTGTCGTGGTGAAGCAGCCACGATTTGTACTGTCACAACTCTCGTCTGTTCTCGCGCACTGAGCGAAGCAAACGTCGCAGGATCTCATTGAGAACTCTGGACGATGCCCTCTCACATCGAAGAACGGGTAAGTTACTTTTCAGACAGACGTCGCATATGTAGAATGAGCTGGAAAGACTATGTTTACATAGGTTTTTTTTTAAGGGTGATTTCTTTCATCCGGCAATTTCTGTGATCCGTCGGTGGTATTATCCGGAGGGTTCCAGATTAAAGAAGTCGTGCTGTATCTCTACGTATTTCGTTAGTATTTTCGTTATATAGATTAACCAAACTGAAAACCTTACAATTTCGATTCTAATGCAGGAATTTAAACTAAAACCTTTACCCGGAGCTGATCTTTAAATAAATATTTTGTTTTCTCTTGATTTTGATAGACTAAGGTAAAGGTTGGGTTTGCGTTTTATCGATGGGTTTTACGATATAAAACTTGTAGTTCAGTAGTCTTTTGCCTTTTGTTTCTAGCGACATTTTTTTTTTTACCTCTTAATGATTTTGTGAATCAAGAAGAGAAAACCAAAGGTTGTCCCCCTGGTAACACGACATGAAAATAATGAGTTAATGAAGATACTGACTTTCCACACTACTTCAAACAAAGGGATAGGAAGAAAATTCCCATCAATACTGTAAAGAGAAATAACAGCCTCTGGCCACGAGAAACCTATTTTTCTAAAACAAAAAATCATCTAAGAGAACGATTTCATAAATTCGAATAAAAAGTAACACTGGATGCTCGGCCAACGAAAATTTCCTCATAAGGAAACGGTTAATATTACCATCAGCATTAGATGTGAGGAGAAAATATACACCCGTGTGCAAAATTAATTGAAACAAAACGAATAATTCCAGTATTATTTACTTTTTTGTCGTATTTTTCCAATGAAACATGACCCAGTGCATATGTTAGTACTTCGTATGTCCATTCCACGATGTCGTTCATTGCAGATTGACCAGAGATTCTCGATTGGATTTAAATCAGGAGAGTTTCCGAGCCAGTTTATAGTACTTTGATTTGCTCACTGGTTGCCAGTGTGTTCGTGCGGCGTTACAATTTTCGTACGCCTCTTTGAAATAATGTCCATCGCAGACAATGGTCCTAGGACAACTAATCGACAATCGAGACACTAGTGTCAGGGCGTGCTAAAAATCATATGCAATCACGGATGACACAATATTTTTCAAAGCCAAACAAATTTCATCATACACCCCGAAAATAAATTCATATTACTGCACACCACTGCAGATTGCCTAATCTGAGGTAAAAATAGAAATCGATTAAACCCTGTCACTCCAGTGGGTCTAAAACTCACCGTATGGCGAAAGAAAGGAAACTAAATCAGTTGTTTCAACTAATTGGCACAAGGGTGTACTACACTTTAATCCCAGCCTGATGATCATAGAGAGTAGAAAAGTTTATCTCGAGTAGCATTGGCAGTTTGTTCAATGAATACCGAATATTTCCTTATAAGGAAACGTCTAATACAGGGTGAGAGAGTAATACATACAATATTCACCTCCTGCATTATGGCAAGACATTAGTAATATTAACGGTGTTTAGCTGATATCTTAGCATTATGTGGTATGTATTTCTTTTAGGTATAGGTGAGAGGTATTTCTGCCTCACCCTGTAGTACCATTATCCCTCTTGCACGAAGTTAGAAGTCATCGTGACCGAGGGTGTGAGAGTACTGGCCTTTTCAAACTGTTATCCCGCCAGATAAGGGGCTCTCTCCCAGAAGCTGTAACTAAGTTCAACTCAGCATAGTTGCAGTATAGACCACAGGTGGGCTCTGTGGAATGTACCTGAGCAGGCATCTGCAACAGGGATTGGCTAGCCACCTTCGTAGGTAGGCATACTCAGATACGAACGACCAACTACCACATAGGTTTATTTTATTAGCTTCTGATGATTTATCCTCGGGTTGTAAGCAAAATGTAGTTGGATTAGGCACGCTAGTAATAACGGTGTTAAATTCAAAGACACTTCTAAGATTTCCTTAACAATGTCCAAATGATGTTGCTCAGATAATTTGAATTCACCTAATACAGATCATATAATGTTGTATATTTCAATTTATGAGCTGCAAAAATAAGTCTGCACGTAAAATAATGAAACACATGAATCTAGAATTTAACGCGGTCATCTCTAGAAATAGAAAAAAATCTGATGAATTGACTTCGATATTAAAAACAGATGCATCGATCTTATCACGGGTAGGAGAGCTCATAAAAGAAGATAGCAAAGACAACGAGAAAACAATAAACAACATCATCATCCGAAAGAGTTTTTGCGCATGCGTGAAATCTAATGGATTCGCGCTGCCCAGGAAATGTCCTTGAGCAAATGGCGCCCGAAGAACGGTGGAAATAGTTTAATGAATGTGACTACGACAAAGAAGAGCTGATATGTTAGGTTAATTCAAGATATAAGCTCATCATTGAAAGTGGCGACTAATCTCGTTCTAATTGTGCCCCAGTTGTCCGGAGAAGTTGAGGGCCAATGGAAGAAGCAACCTTGGTTGGCAAATGAGAGAAAATGGCGGAATGGAAAATGAATGTAGATAGAACAGCGTTCGTTTAAACTTCACTTATTTATTATGTATCTTTTCAGCGCCAATTTACTCTTTTTCAATCTCTGCCTCCTTCTCTTTCCTTCTTTTATCTTTGTATCTTTCTCATGCCTTCGCTTTGTTTCTCTTTCACCATCCGACTCTCATTATTTCCTTTTGCTTCTATAATGAAAGGAATATTTTTCACCTTTCTTTCCTAAGTTTTTCTCTAATTTTTTCGTGTCGCACTTCTGTCCCATAATAGTTGCTACATTCGACCACATATTTTATACACTAAATGTCACAATTATTTTGGGACAAAGATAATGTTATTGATTTAATCGTTCCTCTGTCTCATAATAGTTGTTACATATCCATACACATTTTATGCACTAAATGTCCTAATTATTATGGGACAAAGATAAATATTATTGATTTAATCGTTACTTTGTCCCATAATAGTTGTTATACATCCATACACATTTTATACACTAAATGTCTTAATTATTATGGGACAAAGATAATAATTTAATAGTTCCTCTGTCCCATAATAGTTGTTACATACTGATGCACATTTTATGCTCTAACTGCCCCAATTATTATGGGACAAACATATTATTACATTTAAGGTATAATCTTTCATTATGCTTTCGTTTATTCGAACCTATTGTTCTCATGTTGATTATTATATATATTATAATAGATACAACGTTTCGGCCAAGTATCATCTGGCCATCATCAGTTGTCCATTTTTATTTCTTGATATAACACTGCGGTACATATAAAAAGTGTTGTTCTTTATGTTACTTGGCTGCCCGTCAATGAAGGCCGAGTGTTTCTTTATAAGGAAACGACTAATATTACCATTATTGTTGTGAGTTCAATCCCTGTGTCGAGCAGTGTGTTCTTGCACTCACTGGAAACGGGTGAGCAATAACTGAACAGTACTAAATAAAATAAGAACTGCACGATATCTCTAGACATGGGATATGAAACGAGAACAGTCTAGCCCCGTAGATTAAATAAATGGTTCAGTTCGGAATTCCCTGTAGGTTAAACAGATCAATATACACCTGGGGAAGGCCGGATAGCAAAACGGTCGAAACGTTTTCATAAGATGAGGATAATAGTCCGTGTATAAATAGTGTAAATTGCCATTATTATTACCGTTGGTAATCAACTATGCGATCACTTTTACTTTCGGGCAAAGCTGTGTTCAGTTCTATTACTAAATCCAATGTTTTTCGTTGTTTTTTTTTTTTTACTTTGTTTTCAAAGTTATTCTTGGTAAGCACGGGGATCGGTTCCAAAATAATGGAGTCGGAACAAGAGTCTGTAATTCGAGCTAATTCCAGCCACTTACTCAAGGCTTTAGCTATTCCTTTATAGAATAGAATTATAAAAACCAAACGATAACGATTCTCGTTCTACATCAGACATCCAACACATATTACACTCGACATATCTACGGCTGTCTATACACTAAAGTAGCTCTTGTGAAATGGAGGTAGTCTTGTGTAGTTGCAGCTCTATACACGAAACCTCAAAGTCAACGCTTCAATACCAACTGCCCAAGAAACATGTGGTTCTACAGGAGGATACTGAGGATACCATGAACCGAATATGTGATCAATGACGAAGTTTTAGAGAAAACGGGAAGAAAAAGGAGAGAAAATTATACTTAACATCGGGAAGAGACAGTTGAAATTACATACTTTAATAATTTATTAAATTTTTATAAATTTATGAAAAAAAAATTGTATTCATATTTATTTCTTTATAAATTGGTAAATGATAAATATTGCACTGAATTAGTCTTGATATAATTGTATTAGTTTTTAGAATGTTTTGAATATAAAATTATTCTTGCAAATACACAATCTAATAGTGTTTAATATTTTTGTTCTAAATTCTCCAGAACAAAAAAAAAAGTGTATAAATTCATTTTCATCATGCGATGCTCTCATTACAGCAAGCAGAAGAAACATTATCACAAACTATGAAAGCTTTCAGGCGAGCCATTGTAGTCTGTTTAGTGCAATTACTTGGCGTAAGTCTGCAAAATAGTTTCCCAGAACATTAACAGACTGCATGAAGGAGCAGAGTTTGGTTACTGTCATGTAGATTAAAAAAATGTACGACCCCATACATGGTATAAACAACAATTGATCAGACTGTACCTACGTTAATATATCTTTTTATATATATTTCAGTTTGTTTTTGTTTTTCTATCTATCTATCTATCTATCTATCTATCTATCTATCTATCTATCTATCTATCTATCTATCTAATAGATCTCAATATGTTCATATCTGTATATATCAGTCATATCTGTACATATCTACCTAAAACACTTCCCATATTTCTATCGATTTACCAAGAGAAATATTGAAGGAGAGAAATAGAGAGACAGAGAGGCATATATATATATATATATATATATATATTGAGTTCTAGCAGTATAACCAGTCTTTGACCGGGTCTTTCATTACTGAGAATTTTTGCCGTTCAGTTGGAGTAGTTTAATTTTAAAATCAGCCCACCCCAAAATCAATATTAGTAACAACAATTGGGTGCAACTGAGGCACATCCCCAAATGGAGGGGGGTAAGAGTTTGAATGGGGAGGGGGGGCTGAAAAGGGAATTGTATAATAATAAATAATATTATTGTAATAATTTAAAATATTTTAAAGTTTTCATGAAAGATATATATCCAAGAACAGATGTTAAATAGAAAAAAAAAAACGTTGCTGAGAGTTATAATCAACAGGAAGTAGTGGAGAGCCATTGTCGCCAACAGTTTGGACTCAAAACCTGCACTGAAGAATTATCTATCAAGAAAAAAAAATTTAATCGAAATCGGATGAAAACTGTGGAAATGACAACAACCGATCACACACACATACACACACACACACACACGCATATATACACACACATTTTGAGAATTGTAGATATAGATATATAATGTAATTCTAGAAGAGTGCATCTGCACGGAAATAAGTCAATAAACTCGTTGTGCGTTTCACTGTAGTACCTGGGGCCAGATTCTGGGCCCAGAAAACACATGCACTTTCCCTAATCCTCACCATTTCACCTCAAGCAAGGCGATAAAACCACTAAGACGCAATAGGTTGTTAAAAAAAGAAAATAACTCATCACTCACAAGACAGTGGAGACATTTTTGAACTCTATCAGAACAAGAAATTGAAGACTGGGCAACTCCTGCCCATCCATGGCATCAGTATTCCATTTTCGGCCTGATCCGGCTCTTGTAAATGTAGAGGATGACAGGATGAGTCAGGTACTTACTGGAACGCGACAGGGAACAGACCATTTTTTCAACATCTTTAACGATGGATTGTATGTACGTGTTTCACTTGAGGTCTTGGTGAGCTGAAATCTCGATATGCACGGAGCATCTCTGAGAGAACACGTGTTCATCGCGATAGACGAAAATCCAAAGTTCGCTCAGTGATTTCTCTAAAGGTGGTGTCACAATAAAGTCACTATGGAGAAGATAACAGTAAATGATTTTATTATCGCTCCCAAGAACAAACATGACAACGTACAAAAGACTAAGCATTCTTCATAAAGAGGTCTAACAAAAAAAAAAAAAAAAGAAAAAAAAAGATTATTTCATGTTTATGACAACGGGTTCGTTTTCACTTTGTTAATTTTCTTTCTTTTTTCTTTCTTTCTTTATTTCTTTCAATAGATATTTTTACTCTATCTTTCTTCCTGGACATGTTTCTGTTTTCTTTTTCCTCTTTTTTTCTTCTGTCGTTGTTTCTGTCTTTCTTTCTAATCATGATTTCTTTCTGTCGTCATTTCTGTCTAGATAAGGTTTTCGTTTTACGGTCTGTATTCATTCTCTTTCTTTCTTTCTTTCTTTCTTTCTTTCTTTCTTTCTTTCTTTCTTTGTAGACATATTTTCTTTATTTCAGCCTCTCTTTCCTTCGAAATACGTTTTCTTCTTATTCTTATTTCTGCCTAGATAAGTTTTCGGATTTTCGGTCTAGGCTTATTTTTTCTCTTTCTTTCTAGACATATTTTCTTTCTTTTTGTCTTTCTTTTTTTAAACACGTTTTCTTTTGTTATTATTGTCTAGGTTAATTTTGCATATTTCAGTCTATACGCATTTCCTTTCTTTCTTTCTTTCTTTTTGTCTTTCTTTGTAAACACGTTCTCTTGCCTTCGTTAAATCTGTCTAAATAAGTTTCCGTTTTTCGGTCTATATTCATTCTCTTTATATCTATCTTTCTAGACATACTTTCTTTCTTTTTTGGCTTTTTTCTGTCTTTCTCAACACGTTTCCCTTCTTTCGTTATTTCTGTTTTTAGGTCTAAATTCCTTTTCTTTCTCTTCTAGCCATATTTTCTTTCCTCCTGACTGTCCTTTCTTTTTTTCTAAACACTTTTTCTTTTCCTTCGTTCTCGAGATAAGTTTTCCGTTTTTCGGCCTATACACATTTTTTTTCTTTCTAGCTGTATTTTCTGTCTTTCATTCTGTCTTTCCTTCTAAACGCGTTTTTTTTTGCTTTCGTTATTTTTGTCCAGAGAAGTTTTCCATTTTTCGATTTATACTCATTTCCTTTCTTGTTTTTCATTATAGACATATTTTCTTTCTTTCTATACAAGTTTTCTTTCTTTCGTTATTTCTGTCTAGATAATTTTTCCCTTTTTCGGTCTCTACTCATTTTCGTTCTTTCTTTCTTTCTTTCTTTCTTTCTTTCTTTCTAAACACGTTTTCCCTCGTTATTTCTGTCTAAATAATTTTTCCGTTTTTCAGTCTTTACTCATTTTCGTCCTTTCTTTCTACCTATCTTTTTTTCTTTCTAAACACGTCAAAATTTCTGTCAAAATAAGTTTTCCGTTTTTTGGTCTATACTCATTTTTTTTCCTTTCTTTCTTGTTCTGTTTTCTTTCTAAAAACGTTTTCTTTTTCTTTCGTTATTTCTGTCTTGAATGTTTTCTGTTTTTCGGTCTCTACTCATTTTTTTTTCTGTTTTCTAGATACATTTCATTCCTTCCTTCCCTTTCCTTCCTTTCCTTCCTTCCTTCCTTCCTTCTTTCCTTCCTTTCCTTCCTTCCTTCCTTCCTTTTCCTTCCTTCCTTCCTTCCCTTTTCTTCCTTCCTTCCTTCCTTCCTTCCTTTCAATACACATATTCTTTCTTTCGTTATTTCTTTCTATATAAGTTTTGCGTTTTTCGGTTTATTCTCTTTTTTCTAGCTATATATTTTTTTTCTTTCTGTCTTTCTTTCATTCTATACACGTTTTCTTTCTTTTGTTATTTCTGTCTCGATAACATTTTCGTTGTTCTGTCTATATTCATTTTCTTTGTTTCTTTCTTTCAGGCCATATTTTCTTTTTTTCTTTATGTCTTTCCTTCTAAACACGTTTCCTTTTCTTTCGTTATTTGTGTCCAGATAAGCTTTCCATTTTTCGATCGATATTCATTTTCTTTCTTTTTTTCTTCTTTCTATCCATATTTTCTTTGTTTCTTTTCTATAGACATTTTCTTTATTTCCTTATTTCTGTCTAGACAAGTTTCTGTTTCCCAGTCTATACTCATTTTCTTTCTTTTATCCTAAACACTTTTTCTCTTGTTATTTCTGTCTAGATAAGTTTTCTGTTTTTCATCTCTTCTCATATTTTTTCTTTCTTTCTAGATATATTTTCTTTCTTTCTTTCTTTATTTCTTTCTAGATAAAATTTTCGTTTTTCGGCTTATTCTCATTTTCTTTTTTCCTTTCTTTCTTGTCATATTTTTTCTTTCAATCTGTTTTCCTTTCTTTCTAAACACGTTTTCTTTCTTTCGTTATTCCTGACTAGTTAAGTTTTCCGTTTTTCAGTCTATACACATTCTCTTTTTTCTTTCTTTCTTGACATATTTTCTTTCTTTCTTTCTTTTTTCTTTCTTTCTGTTTTTCTTTCTTTCTAAACACATTTACTTTCTTTCCTTGTTTCTGTCGATATAAGTTTTCCGTTTTTCAATCTACATTCATTCTCTTTGTTTATTGCTTTCCTTGTATTTTTATTTTATTTCATTTTTCTCTTAGCATTTTCATATTTCCTTTTTCTGTGCCTTGCTTGAGGATCTTATTTATTTAGTTCCTCTGGCCTTTTTCCCCTTCAATTCTTTCTCTTTGACATGATATTTCCCTTCGTTTTTTCTTCTTCTATGTGGTTTTATTTATTTCTTTTTTAAATATTTCAATTTTTTAATCAACCTGAATGTGACGCTTCATGTTTTAAGAGATACGAGACGATGATAATGAAACATAATCTTTCGGTTGAAAATAAAGTCAGTTTAAATGTGAAAATGGAGTGGAACGCCTTCTCAGGTTCCCATTGATCATTTGCCTTGGACTAAAAGAATATCGTGATATGGAAGTAAAGAATCACGAGAAGGTAGAAAAACGGTAAGGGGAAACGTTCATACGGTACTAAAATCTGAGACCTTTTCTCTGTCAATAGGTCAAGACTAATACATTTTTGATAAATAATTGCACCAGATACCAGTAGATGGCGATTCAAAATGGATTATGCAACAAGACTGTATACACTGACACAGTAGTGTTGCAAATGAATGGTTTTCTTGTTCTGATAACAGGGAAGGACGAAGAGACATAACGAGAGAGATATACAGAATTGTGGGTTAAAAATGCATGATGGGTAATCAGACTCCATATTTTTATTTTTTTAGATGTCATTTTTTTAAAAAAAAATGTCTGAAGTAATTCTCCGTTTACATTTATTTTTTATATGAAAATTTATATTTGCCTTCTAAACATTTATTCTCCTCTTTCACATATATCTTCCTGACGTTAGTTTAAGATGACTCCTTCTTTCTTTCGTGTATTGTGACCGTTTTGCTTAATGTTCATATTTTCTTGATATCAGACGAAAACTTGGACAGTTTTCAGAATATTTCAGTGAAATTATCACTTATCAAAATTATAGTTTTTTTTTTTTTACATACATGGGGAAAACGTGTCAGTTTAAACTACCACCAGGAGGATATATGTGAAACAGTTTCATTTCTCAAGCCGTTTCTAATCACTTTAAACACATGCATACATACATTATGGTACCTGCAATAGCCAACTCACACGCTTCTGGTGTACATTTAAATTTCGGCTTTTTTTTTTCTTTTCATTGTGAGTGTTTTGCGCAAAGTTCGTATTTTATTCGTTTTTGATGAAAACTTGGATATTTTTCAACATATTTCAATGAAATTTTAACTTTGAAAAATTATAGTTTGTAATTATAGTTTAAACCAGTGTCTCTCACCCGGTGTTACTGGGTTCCTCAAGAGATCACCATGTGTTCCGCAAGAAACAATTATGAATAGGCTAATGTATTTTTAGTCATTTTTGTTCAATTTTATATTCGTAATTTTACTATACATATGCGGTATACTGTTGGTAAACCCTTGCTTATTATAATAAAGACTTCAACCACTTATATTATTTAAAATTATAATAATCATAGGGAATATATTTAGTAATGTCTATATATGCATCAGTGTGAAACCACCTTCACTGGTTCGTCCTAGGTATGACGATAAACTACATCCGGCAGCAAGACCTCTGGTAGAGGTTTTGAGGAGCGTGGAACCACTTCTTAATAGCTGTTGTTTGCAGGCCCACCCTGATGCGGGGTAGTAGCACCCGTTACGGGCAAATAGTAAATGCTCGAACAAAAATCAACAGTACAGTATAGTAAAATTATAATCAATCATTACAATCAATACACTTTATAAATTTTATACAATATACCTTTACTCTGAAAAATAAAATGATGCACAGAATAACTGTAGTTGAAAGCATAAAATTACGTACAAGATATTTAGATTTCGGCATTAAATAACCCATAGAGGTCGATATGCGGTTAAGTAAACTCAACTAATCAACCAACATAAAAGAACACTTTCATGGCGTTAATTTACATAATATCCCACAATCTCTTAAATTAAATCAAACTCTGTTCCAAAATATAACTTCAACAAAACTATAATATAAAATGCTCATATCACCGTCTCATATCCACACAAATATGCATAGGCACAGAATCTGCGTATTATCTACCCTGTATTCAATTGTGAAAGCAGAAATATTTAGTATTTTATTACTTCAAACTCCCAAGAAAATTAAATTTCAGCATTAAATGACCCATAAGGTGTAGATATGCCGTTAAACAAACACATCAATCAACGTTCACTGATTAGTGAACAGGACCTGTTTGTACCGGTATTGGTGTATCATTGAGTGATTCACTCGAGTACAGGACGCATGAGCAGTGGCCCTATATTATGCTTACCACGTGTACTACGATAAAATTATAAAAGAGATAGATATTAATAATCAAATAAATATAAATATAATTACATTATATATATATATATATATATATATATATATATATATATATATATACCAGGTCATCCCATAAGTTCTGTCCGAATTTTGAATAAAGAAAACAAGTGACCAAATGTTACATTCAATCAACAATGTATTTTCCCTGATTATCTATGACTACTTTCCATCTATTAACAAGCTTACTAATTCCATTACTGTAAAATTCTTTTGGCTTTGATTCGAAGAACTCACAAATGTCAGTTTTAACCTCTTCCTGTGTTACAAAAGCTGTTTCTTCCAAATGATTCTGTAAGCTACGAAACAAATGGTAGTCTGAAGGAGCAAGATCGGGAGAATAAGGTGGATGAGGAATTTTCTCCTGACCAATCCGATCTTTTTTGGTGTGATTCTTTCTGTGTGGGGTCACGCATTGTCCTGATGAAACCTCACCTCTTTTCGATTCACTAGAGCAGGGTTTTTTTCCCTCAAAGCTTGGTTCAAACGCTCTAATTGCTGACAGTATATTTGAGCAATAATTGTTGCATTAGGTGGTAAAAATTCAAAGTGGATTATTCCTTGGCGATCCCACCAGATTGAAAGAAGAACCTTTTGCCCATGAAGTTCCCTTCTCGGCTGTGGCTGGGGTCCTTCCCCTTTACCAAGCCTCTGTCTACGACGCTTAACATTTCGATAAAAGATCCATTTTTCGTCGCCAGTCACAAGTCTATCCAAAAAAGGTGAAACAAGTTGGCGAGAATGGAGAGAAGAGCAGATGTCAACTCGGGATTTGAGGTTGTTTTCAGACAATTCATGAGGCACCCATTTTCCAAGTTTAGGAACTTTTCCAAGTTGTTGAAGATGACGATGAACAGTTGTATGGTTTGAACTGAGAACCACTGCCAATTCCTCAACTGATAAAGCAGGATTTTCTTCAAGGGCTGCTTCAAGAAGCTTTTCATCAAACTCAACTGGACGTCCGGTTCGATCTTCATCTTCAAAAGGTGAAATCTCCACCTCTGAATTTTGCAAACCATCTTCTGCAAGTTCTTTCATTCACACATTCCTCTCCATAAACTGAGTGAATGTTTATAGCCGCTTCGGCTGCTGAGTTTCCTTTCTTGAACTCATAAAGCATTATGTGCCTCAAATGATTCTTGGGTACTTCCATGTTAGCAGGGTTTTAATCAAACAAAATTTAATTTTATTGTTCTCTGAAATAAAATTTGATCAGTTTAAATGCATCTAAACATAAAAATAATGTTCAGCTCCATTAGACATTATAAAACACTCTTTAAATTTCGTTCATTTTAACAAAAAGTTAAAATTCGGACAGAACTTATGGGATGAACTGATATATATATATATATATATATATATATATATATATATATATATATATATATATATATATAATTAAATAAAAATATAAAAGAGATATATATTAATAATGGTATATAATAATTTTTGCAGGGGTTCCTTGAAACATGAAAAACTATTTCAAGGTTGGCACAAGGGTAAAAAAGTTGAGAAACTCTGGTTTAGATATAAAGATTAAAATGCATTAAATGATTAAAGATGCAAGTTTAAACAGCCCATGTTATTGCCTTAATGGAAATCTTTTATCTGGAGACCTTGACTTTAGACATTCATACTTGTTCTAAGTGATTTCTACTACACTTTTATATCTACATTTTATAATTATAAATTTACTGTTTTAATATTGTCTATGTTTTTTATTGGTCCAAACCCATCTTAAGTTTTCTTTTATCATTATGAGGAGGTTAGGTGAAGTGATGCATAGTACAGAGCTGGATTAACCCTAAAGCAAAATAAGCAACGTGCTTAGGGCATCAAGAGAAGAGGATCCCACTGAAATTGTAATGATATGATGTTGGTGTATATGTCTAAAGAAATAAGTCAAACTTAATTAACATTTGAATCAACGGCGTACCATTATGAATGCAGAGACAACTGACCCGCAGTGAATCTTTATTGCCATTTTGATTGGTTAATAAGGGAATTCCGCAAGAGGCCAGGAAACAGTGATAAAAAGGCTAATGCATTTTTGAGTAATTTTTGTTTCATTTTATATTCGTAATTTTACTATACACGTACGACATATTTTCAGAAAAATGTTGGCTATTATAATAAAGGCTTCAACCTCTTATATTATTTAAAATTATAATAATCATAGGGTATATATTTAGTCATGTCTTTATGGCATCAGTGTGAAACGACCTTCACTGATCAGTGAAGAGAATCTATACATGGCAGATTGAATGACTCGCTTGAGTACAGCACAAGTGTCCATACATTGTTTACAATGTGAACTATGATAAATATAAAAGAGATATTAATAATGGTATACAATAATTTTATGCAGGTATTTGCTGAGACATGAAAACTATTTCAAGGTTGGCACAAGGGTAAAATGGTTGAGAAACGCAGGTTTAGATATAAAGATTAAAATGTGTCAATTGTTAAATTTACGATTGGAAGATGCAAGTTTAAGCAGTCCATGTTATTGCCCTAATGGAAATCTTTTATCTGGAGACCTTGACTTTAGACATTCATACTTGTTCTAAGTGATTTCTACTACGCTTTTATATCTACATTTTATAATTATAAATTTACTGTTGTTTTTTTTATTAGTACACACCCATCTTAAGGTTTCTTTTATCCTTATGAGGAGGCTAGGTAGAGTAATGGATAGTAAAGGATGAGGAATTGGAGAGCTGAGCTCGAATTCAATTACTTGCTACTACCCTTGAGAAACGTATAAATCCTCTTCTTCTCTCCTCAGCTATGGCTAAATATTGGATTCTATACCCTTGGGTGGCAACCAATATATGAGAAAGAAAAATCTGAATTCAAACCGGTCCGGAGAAGGTTAAGGGTCTCCTTTCTCGTTAGTTAACCAAATATAAAAAATTCTCCCAAATCGATATGTAACCGAAAAAATACAATATATAGAAACACTTGAAAACGGACGAAAAGATTTTGAATAAAAGGGGCTGTTGGAATAAGCGGGTTTGAATATTTTGACAAAAGGCAGGCGGGGATTAGAATCAGCCAAAAGATTAATATATTTTTTAATGAAAACTAGACACCATTGGACCTAAAATATGTTCGGATAATTCCGAATAATCTTCTTCTATGGCCTTGTCCCTTCAGAATGTAGGGCATCATAGCTCTTAATAAATTCTGGCTTTTTGTTATATTTCTTAAACCTTTTCCCGCCATCCGTTTACTCAAGCACGCTAAGTAGGTTATGTGATGTTTTTCTTTTGTCACCTTTGCCTTCAATATAACCTGTATCAGATTTTCCAAACCCTCTTTCCTCATTATGTGCTCTAGAAATCTCAACGTTCATTCTTGATGTTAAGTATGTTTACGTTTTGTTTCCATTTTCTCTAAAACTTCGTCGCTGCTTATATGTCCCGTCCGTGGTATTTTCAGCATCTTTCTGTAGAACCACATTTCTGTTGCTTCAAGTCTCTTCTTCATCTGTGAATAGATGGTTCAAAATTCATTGTCATATAAAAGGACTGATATTACATAAATGTTTAGTACTCTTTTTTTGTTTCTAACGAATTTTCTCTGTTTCTTAATACTCTGCTTATCTTATGAAAGGCATCTTTAGCTATACTATTGTGCCTTCGGATTTCACTATCGCACTTTCCGTCCTCTATTAAAACACTTCCCTGAAACTTAAATTCTTGTACTTATTTGATTTTGGTACCCCAAATTTTAATTTGCATGTTGGAATGTCTCTTTTGCTAAAAGCCATGTATTCTGTCTCATCTTCGAGAGTTGGATAATTCAAAATTCTGGATAATTGAATACCTAAATTATCGAAAAGGGATGAAGAGAAAATTCATTTTCTGAAATAAATTTAACATTTATATCGTCATATTAACATTTTTGAACGCTTTCTTCAATGTTTTCCCCAGTTTATTTTTGTTATGAGAAAATGCATCGATTTCTGTCTGTTTTCGGTTGACCTCTGGTTATTCGGTCGCTAATTCCCGAAGTTTGTTTGGTTCAAGTTAGCTGATCACAATGCCAATGTCTCTTCCGGACAACATATTGTAATAAAGTCCCGGTTCATCAAAGTTAAATATCTGGCCGTGGGTCTAACCAGCGGTGATTTACTCAAACTTTTGAACAAATTCTTCAGTCGAAAAGAATGTCCGCACTCAAATTTTCGACGGTAATTACCAGACATTTTATTTTGTATCGATTTCAAAACCTCCACTGAAAACCGTAACTAGCCATAAATAATTTGGAACTCTCTGAGTAAAAATGATTGTCAAATTCAGAGGCATTCTCAAGAAGAATTGGACATGCATTTCGGACATTTCACAAATTTGAATATTCCCAATTCACACTTCGTTCCTTTAAAATTCTTCAAACATTCCTTGCTTTTCGAAAATATCACTGTGTATTTCCCTACATTATATTTTGATATGATCTAAATTTTGGAATTTTCTTCCGCCATGTTACAAATATTTCATTTCTCCTCAATATATAACCTTTTCCTTTAATAATTCAAATTCGGGGCCATTTTAGCTTCGAAGAGTACGTTCGCAAAAAATAACGAAACGGGACAAGTGTTGAAAAGTAAAACCAGAGAATGAGCTGACTCGTCTGTCAGGAAACGTTACCATTAATTTCATGTCCGGATAATCGAAATTCGGATAATCGGTGGCCGGATAATAGGTGTCCAGATAATAGAAGAAGTACTGTAATAAGCTCTTTAGACAAAATAAAGGAATGGATGGTTGGAATAAGATCCAATGGATTGGAATTTTTAGTAAATTTAATAAGCGGTGCTTAAACGTTTATTAGAAACCCGTATGTCCAGCTACGAACATACGTTAATAAGTTGCCAGTTCTTGTCTTGTGATATATATATATATATATATATATATATATATATATATATATATATATATATATATATATATATATATATATATATAATCAATATGTAAGGCAATAAGGGCACTAAGACGCAGGGGTTTACTGAATTCACACTGAAAATATGAGAAAGAAACGCAGTTAAGGAGAGAGGACAATAACAGAACTAGAACACAGTAGATGGCGATTGACATTGCCTTCAATTTTTTGAAGCTCAAAGTTGGCTGGAAAGCAAGATACCTGAAGAGAGTTCCACAAGCAAGAAGTGCGAAAGAAAGGAACTTACAGATACGTCTAGCCAATTCAACTGTAAAATGATGAAACCTTGTTACCACTCTACAATGTGCCCCGCAAAAAAAAAAAGAAAACAAGAAATTTGGTAGAGTTTATTTAATTGTTGGAATTTTTGTTACAGTAATTGGAAACAAAATCAAAGAGTAGTAATTTAGTAGCTTAAAACAGAACAAAAACACAGATGCGGTGTTCTTTCTTGGCATTTTTTTTTTCAATAACCAAGTTAGATGTTCTTTCTTAAAGAGAAAAATTATCTCACGTTGAAAATGTGATAACGGCGGCATCCTGGAACAACAAATGGTTAAAAAAAATTATATGCTAGTAAATTTTGTTACTTGGTCAAATACGTAGTTCATTTTTTTTATATGTTAGTTAATTTTTTTTTTTCATCATTTCCTTTTTCTTTTGGAGTGGGGGGGGGGTACCCTGTAGTACTGCGCTTAAATTCACAAAGTCTAGGTACAATAGAGGTAAGTTCATGAAAACAATTACCATAGAAAACGCACAGGAAAGCTACATTACGGCGGCGGAACAAGTGAGTGAAGACGAGATGCCAGGTCAGGGCCAATAACATTGCAGATTATATTCACACACACACACACACACGCGCACACACACACACACACACATATATATAGATAAAATAACTGTATTAGCACAAATAATACGACTGCCCTGGAGAGCAAAAACCAAAAGATCCATTGCGATCTTGACACTTAGTCTGACCGCCACATCCAGGCAAAAAAAAGTATAAGGAGCTCAATTAATAATCGTAAAGTTTGTGTGTGGGGGGATGTTGAAATACTTGCCAAATGTTGGCCGTATCCGCGGATCGCCGACTAAACATGTAATATATGTTAAACTGAGAAAATACCAGGGCATAAATAATATACACTGAGAAAATAAACTGAGAAAGTACCAGGGCATTACACAGGAGCTGAGAACGATATGGAAATTGAAGTTTAGAGTCATGCCCATAATAGCAGGCGCACTTGGAACCATGTAAAAAAAACAAAACAAAAAAAACAAAAAAACAAGATAATCGAGATTGGATGAAGTGAAAAGCCTAGAAAGTGTTAAGACTACATTGCTGGCGTTTGCGAGGATACTGAGGAAGGTTCTGGAGATTGAAAGTGAAAGAGAAGGAAAACGAGAAAAATAGAGAAAAAGAGAAAAATAAATGATGAGAGGATGAGTAAACAAAAGAGGAGGAAAAGGAATTGTAGTAGTAGTAGTAGTTGTAGTAGTAGTAAGAGGAAGTGGAAGTAAGGAAGGAAGATGAGAAAAAAGAAAGAAAAGAAAAAGAAAAGAGAGAAAAAGGAAAAAGAAGTAAAAAGAGAAAGAAAAAAGGAAGATGAAAAAAGAAGAAGATGAGGAGGAGGAGAAAACAAAAGAGGAAAACAAAAGAAAAAGGAATTGTGGCGGTAGTAGTAGTAAGAGGAAGTGGAAGTAAGGAAGGAAGATGAGAAAAAAGGAAGAAAAGAAAAAGGAAAGAAAAAGAAAAAGGAAAGAAAAAGAAAAAGGAAAGAAAAAGAAAAAGGAAGAACAGAAACGAAGGAGATAGGTAGGGGGAAACAAAAGAGGGGGAAAAGTAATTGTGTGGGTAGTAGTACGAGGAAGTGAAAGTAAGGTAGAAAGAAGAACAAAAGGAAAGAAGAAGAGAAAGAAAAAAAGGAAGAACAAAAACATAAGGAGGAGAAAACAAAATAGGAGAAAAAGGAATTGTGGCGGTAGCAGTAAGAGGAAGTGGAGGTAAGGAAGAAAGAAGGGAAAAATGAAGAGGAAAAGAGAAGAAGAGAAAAGGGTAGAAGAGAAAAGGGAACAAAAAAGAGAAAGATAAAAAAAAGAACAAAAAGAAAGCAGATTATTCTAATGAAAGAAACAGAAGAAAATGAAGAAGGAATGTCGAGGTGAAGGCGTAAATTGATAGACTCTTTTTATTACCCCGGTCTGTGTAATGTTTTTTTTTTACGAAGCGAGACATGCACATGCGCAAAAGGTAGCTATAGTGTAAGTGTGATTCTATACAATCTCAAACATGCCAGACAACGCTGAACAGCACGAATATTAAAATACTCTGTAGATATTGCATGGACCTGATGCAAGTTGACAGATGCCGTTAGAGCATCAACTGGGGCAAGGGTTGTAGCGTGTCAATCGTTCGCTATTGCTTCTGATGCACATTGTCACGAGAACTTTATTTCTCTTTTCCGACCCTCTGGATCACCTCAAGTCGACAAAACCCATCTTTAGATTTCTGAGATGACAATATCCTTGCCGGCCTCTAATAAGACCTCCTCTGACAAGGCCGCCCCTGACGTATTCGGCTATCCAATAATAATCACACACACTAATACACACACACACACACACACAAAAGAGAGAGAGAGAGAGAGAGAGTTTTCGTGTCCCCTGATTATGTTTATTTTACCCGTGGCGCACTGGCAACAGGCTATTTTAAGATTGCACGAGTTGAATTTCTAGTCTCATTTCAAGGAGAACAAAGCACACAAAACGCCATTTTATCAACCTGATGAAATTTCCAAAACTGATTTCCTTTCAGACAGCAAAAAAAAAAACATATCCGCGGGTCGGATGAGTGAATCCGCAGATAGTGCCGAAACAGATATTTACAATTTACACGATTTACATTCGGTGTAATGTCCTCATCTTTAATGTCGTTAACACAACGTTTCGGCCTTCCTCAGATGTATATCGATCTGGGTAACCTACAGAGAATTCTGAACGCTTTATTTAACCTACGGTCATAGACTGTTCTTGTTCCACTGAGAGTTCTTGTGTTATTCTTATTTTTAGCACTGCTCAGTTATTGCTCGCCCTGTTTCCCCTGAGTCCAAGTAAAAACTGCCCGACCCAGGGATTGAACTCACAATTACTATGTCACCAAATTCACAAACCCCTTCGTATTCCATTGGTGAGATGTAATTTCTGCTCGAACAGCTTCTTCCCACTTCTTTGTGGAACCGACTCCCAAGAGGATGCTTTCCCGATCACTACAATCTTAATCAGTTCAAGTCTAGGGTTAACCGCTATCATCCCCACATATCCGCCTAAACTATGCCTTTTGCTCTGTAACCTTCTACCTCGAACGGCTCTTGGGTCTTGTACAGTGAACATCATTGTAAAAAATTCTTTAGTTCACTACGCTATTATCCCGTGGGACAATTCTCTGTGAATAACCACATCTCTTCAGGATTGTAGGTCATTATTACACACTATATATTTTTTTTTCTTTTCTTTGTTATTTGTGAATAGGCATGTTATCTTTGGAATAAAAAAAGGTGTATTTGTTTGGTGCAGCATTGTCCACGAATTTTAATTCGGAATAGTTCTATTGTACTAAGAGCTCCAAAGGACAGTATATTGTGGAGAGGCATGACTGGCTATGTCAGAATGGACACATCACATAGAATAAGAAGAAGGCTGCCCAGTTCCTGGTTGAAAGCAGAAACAGAAGAGTTTATCCTAGCTGCTTAAAGTCAAATCCTTCTAACAAGATCTTACCAAACAAATATTTTAAGGAATCGTTTAGATCCAAAATGTCGTTTCTGTACACAAATCGAGAAGAATATTGATCTAATATAAATAGATGAACACAGTATTGTAAATGTCTGGCAGAACAGGGTTTAGGAGGGACAGCATAAAAAAACAACTTTACTAGGAGTTACAAACGATAGGAAATTTTGGGGAGCGCTGATCGGCCACATACTGAAGAGTCACGGCGCATAGAAGAAGCATGTATAGTTGGCATAGCAGGGATTAGAAGAGATAGCAAAGTGGCAAAATTGACTAAAAGTTACAAAAGGCAGGAAATTGTGAAGAGCCATTATTATCCACGTCCTGAATGGACACAGCACATCGAATAATAAGAAAGCTGCCTAGTTCCTGGTTGAAAGCAGAAACAGAAGAGTTTATCCTAGCTGCTTAAAGTCAAAACCTTCCAACAAGATCTTACCAAATAAATATTTTAAGGAATCGTGTAGATCCAAAATGTCGTTTCTGTACACAAGTCGTGAAGAATATTGACCAGTTAATCAGTGACCTAGCACCAAATGAATTTTAAAACAGACAGATTAGACTAGGGCTTTATCTTAATCAGACCAACAGCATTATACAATATAATTTTGTAGAGATCCATAATGGCCCACATCCTGCAGGGACTTCGACACAGAAATTGTATAAAATTACTATAATGTAATTTGTAACACATTATTTATCATCTCTCAGTTGCGTCTCTGTCCTTGGACAGAGTGCGCTCAGGGGCTTCTCTGTCAAAGAACAGAGGAGCAACTGAGAAAATTATACTGAAGAGGTGCCCAGTTCTGGGGAACAGCTGTCTGGGGCTGCGCCCTCCCATTGCACAAGAGGGGGGGTGCTCGCACTGAGGCCAGCGCAACCGACGGGTGCGGGGGCTGTGGGCAATTTTTGTTCCTTGCCCGGGTGCTCGCGCTCGGGTCCCCACTTTAAAAAGACCTTGTGTCACATCTCGTCCTCGTGGGGGAACGAGTAAGCCCCGTATACATTTTTATAAAGTAGAGTTGGGGCTTTTAAACTCCATAATTCGTTGGATAATTGAGTTCCAATTTCACATTTATTCATATAGATTCCATAATAAAGGTTTTACTTAATTATCTATTATGTTTCTCTGACTCTTCAAATGTTGAATGTATAACTAATTTTAATTTCTGTTTTCCCATGTTTACACGATATTAATTTTATCTTATATATTGTCCGCTGTTCTGTCACCCATGAAATAAAAATAATTGTTTATACGGAAAATAAGGATCTACGTATATGAAATTGTCTTTAAATTAAGTTGCAGCAGAAGAATTATCGTTGAACTTTTAAAAGGTAAACTTAAACATTAATTCAATACTTGAATGCAGCGATCAATTTTAAGTTCTTCTGTAGTTTATTGATGCCAATCGCTTCTACTCCTCCCTAGCTATTGTGATGATGGCCAAACAAGAGTCCTCCACAGGAGTTAGTTTAAATGTCACCCGATAGGGTGGCTTTTAAGCTAGTTTATAATAAAATGTGCACTGCAATTTTGGATACAAAAGGAAAATAAGAGTTAATCCCGTTGAACCATGAAAACAACGATAATAGCTAGTATAATATATTAATATATATTTTTAACCTCGCATAATCTTGCAACACTGAATCTGAGCTCAACGAAAATCGTTCCATGCGCTTAACTTTTTTAGGGCTTTTGAATGAGCTATGAATCATTGAAATCGGACCAGTGGGAGCGGAGGAGTTGCTTGGACACACACACGAACATACACTGTACTTTATATGTAAGATTTAACGCATTAGTAATTTTTTATTTTTAAATGTATATGTTAACATATAAAGTTTGATGAGGTGTGAGTAAATTTTAATTCCGAAAATGAAGCCCAGAGAAAAAAAAAGTTTGGAACCACTGAGTCAGAGGATTACTAGGAATGGTTACGAAGAAAAGTGATACACACGTTAAGAAAATCCTAGGAAATCTATCATTATTCGAAATAGAACCGTTAATCAGTACTGTTCACACATTTGGAAAAAACGTTTTCAACCCATTCGGCTCAATAGCATCTTAAGAAAACCCTTTATTTATATTAGATCTCGGGTCAACTATTTGGTAAATGATTATATCAAACTGTGCATTTAATTTAATTTAATTATCAGGTGTTAGATGCAAAAAAAAAAAGACCGAGACAAGACAAACTAGGGCGATAGATAGATAGATAGATAGATAGATAGATAGATAGATAGATAGATAGAAGGCAAAAGATTTTATTATGTGAAAGGAGTAGTAATTCTAAGTTGTGCAAGATGAGATGTGGGGATAATACAACCATGAAAGTAATCCCAAGAAAACATAACAACGAAATCCTTGAAAATGGCTGGTGAATTAATCGAAGGCGTTTGTGTTAATAATGACTATGGACATTTTTACAGTTGTAAGAACATTACAAAAACGAAATAAAAACATAAGATTTTACGTGTCTAGCACATTCAATGGAAGGTGTATAAATAAAGCCAGACGCCCATATATCTATGCAGAGTGTGGCAAAACTAACGCCCTTTACTGTTTTATTAACTTTTATTGGACAGAAGTCAGTGAGAGTAGATTAAGATGGTTTAAAATTAACTATGGCTTACGGGTTCAGGAATGGTTAAATCTTAATTTCGAGGTGAGGCGAACAGGACGATGGGGGGCAACTGAGTGATCATCCCAGACCTAACAACACCAGACTTTTTTTTTATATGGGGTGAACTGAAAAATCTTGTTTAAAGACTTAAACTGAAAACAATTCCTGAATTAATAAAAGATAAATTATCTGAAATTAATGTAGACATGTCTGAAATGGTTTGTAGAAGAATTGACGAGAGGATTCAGCGTTGTACTGAAAATGAAGGAGAGCAATGTAAAATAGTTTTTTTTAATCATAACAAATCCTGTTTATTTGACGTGACAATAATTAAAAATTCTCTTAAACTACTGTAATTTATTTTTGTATAATAAAAGTTAATAAAAATGGGCGTTAATTTTGCCGAATCGTCTACCATTTGTCTACGCCTTGTATACAGTTGCCATGTCTGATTCGGTGCTCCTGCCGTACATATCACAATTCTTGACAAAACTCAAAGCAATGTAATCGATCCTGACCAGACATCTCGACCTCAGTCACTTTCTCATCAACGTGACATGTTTTGCGGTCTACTGGCATTATATGTAACAACATCAAAGGCATTGAAGTCATTCTAGCAAAGATACAACTTGGGTTGGGCTGGCCATGTTGTGAGAATGGATGAGCATAGGCTTCCAAAAATGTGCTGTATGGACAACTACCAAACTCCAAGCGTTCAGTTAGACGTCCACTCTTATGCTACAAAGACAAATTGAAAGAAAACTTGAAATGTCTCAACTTTGATCTGAAAACCTGAAAAGCCCAAGCATCAAATCAAAAGGAGTGGCGTAAGACATGTTTCATTAAGTTAAAGAGTTTTGAAGACAGTATGCTGAAGCACCGTGATCAGCTTCATCAAGCTCTGAAGCAGAGACACCATCAAAATCCTGCTTTAACAAATTTCATCCGTCAGTGTAGCTTTGTTGCCCACTGCAAGGCCGGGTTAGTGTCACACTTAAGAAAGCACAAATGAAATATGTCTTTCCCTTACCTTATTTTCTCCACAATAGCTCCTGCGAGCATGCATAAGTGTAAATCAAAAGACGCCATCCAATGCTGACCTTCGTTTACCGTTCACGATAGTAGACTTCACCATATATAATCTGTATGAGTCTGTGTGTGTATGTAATGAGAGAGAAAATATCTTCGTTAGAAAAGATTATTGAAATGTTATGTGATATATGTCCTCCTGTATGGCAGTGAATGCTGGACAATCTCTTCAAAGATGAAGAAGAGACTCAAAGCAATAGAAATGTAGTTCTACAGAAAAATTCTAAGGATCCCATGGGCCGAACATGTGAGAAACAACACAGTTTTGGAGAAAAGAAAAACAAGGAAACTTATACTTAACATTAGGAAAAGACAGTTGACATTTCTGGTGCACATAATGAGGAAAGAGAGCTTGGAAAATTGATACTCACAGGACAGTTTGAGGGCAAGAGGGAGAGGGGAAACTAGTGCGTAGCAGACTAGGCAAGCATGAGTAAATGGATGGCGGAACAGGGTTTAGGAGAAGTAACGAATAAGGCAAAATTTCTAAAGAGCTACGACGGACAGGAAGTTGTGGAGAGCCATGATCGCCTACGTCTTGAGGTGACACGGCACATAAAGAAGAAGTAATAAATACTTATGAATCCTTAATATTAATCACCCATTTCAGCCAAATGCACAAGGAGTCGCGAATATAACCTGTAAATAGTGCCCATGCGCAAATGTACACAATCTCGTACATGCACGCACACACACACACACACACACACACACACATATATATATATATATATGTGTGTGTGTTTGTGTGTGTGTGTATTTCTGTATTTTTATATGTACGCACATACACACACACGCTCGCGCGTACACACACGCGCGCACACACACACATGCATATATATATATATATATATATATATATATATATATACATGCCCACTTCTTGCATGTAAAAAAAAAATATATTCATCTACTCACGACAGTGAGTATGCGCGCGCGTTTGATCACGGACTACTTTATAGCTTACGGGCATTTCTGAGAGAATGGAAAAAATGATGGCTGATACAATCAGTGCAAGAATTTATCGATAAGCAACGAACGATTTTGCGTGTATTATTATTTTAAACCTTTTTTCTACAATTGGTTGCCATCAGTTGCACACATCACATGAAGAAGCTGTAGATGGCAAATTCATATCATAAAATCCCAAAGAAACAATAAAAAGAAAGAAATTATAAGAGCGAATACAGCATTTAATTTTGTTTACGGCAGAATTCTGAGCAGTGATATCTCATTATTCTTTCTTTTCTTTTCAATTGCTTGTTTTTAGGATTCATAAGAAGAATTGGTGAATACAATATTATACTTTATTAGTCACTATGACATTCCGATCAATACCTAAGTTTTATAGTTACAAATTCTTCCATATTTGAAGAGGGATTTGCTATATTTTAAAATCAATGTTCAGATGTTAACTGTAATAGTAGCCGTTTCTTTATGAGGAAACGTTTATTGACGGAGCACTGTCGGTTGAAATTTATAAAATCTTTCACTTAAAACAATTTTCCAGGAAAATAGGTTTCTCAAGTCCAGTAGATGTTATTGTTCTTTCCAGTATTGGTGTTTTTCTTCATCTTAACCTTTTATTTGAAGACTGAGCAGCCAGTGCTGTTTTGACTGAAAGTTATAAAATATTTCTCTTTAAACAACTTTTCAGGAAAATAGATTTCTCAAGTCCAGTAGCTGTTATAGCTCTTCTTTTCCAGTATTGATGGGAGGGGGGTTATTTTCTTATCTTGTATTTGAAGTGGTGCAGAATGGCAACAACTTGATTATGTCCCTCAAGTTACATGTGATATCCATTTTTGTTGTTGCTGCTGTTGAAAGTCCTCATGTTACGTGGTTTCTGTTAATTGGTTCAGTTCTTTCTGATTCAGTAGCTCTATTCTATAAGGTTCATTCGATAAAAAAACTACAGACTTCACTCGTTCAAAGTCCGAGTAAGACTTTGCCTTCACTATCACACCAGATGCATCAGAGGGTTTACCATGAAGGTGTCCTCATAGCCAGCCGCTGCAGATTCGCGTCTCGCAGGTTGTCAGTGGCTATCCTATCATATAAACAGTTAGTCAACCCAAATTCACTTAGGATGTGCACGCATAAGACAGACGGATCATGAAGATATATAGGTCACTCCATCAGAGAATAATTAGGACAAATAAGTCTTTCACATCTTCGTGACAATATCCCCGTTCGAAGAAACCCCTAAAAGCCATACACCTTTGCCCCGATATTAACTGGTGAAGTTTGGAGTTGAAGAAATAGTTTCGTTCATGAGACATTCCGTCATGTGTTCTCTACTACGAAAACGTTGCATAGTCATTGATGACGTATTTTTAGTTGTTTTCTTTTTAAATGAACGTTGTAGTTGCATAATACATTTTAGAGGCATCAAGGATGGTCTTCCGTGATGCACTGTACTCGTCGCCGATTTCGGCTTTTGGATCATGTCGACTTAAACAGTAACTCCGACTTGACTCCGGATGAGTCAACACGCCTTCTTGAAAGCGTCGTGCTACGCACCTCGATATGGAAAAAAAAAAGAAAAACAAAAACAAAAGAAAATCATCTCGACCTACATAACCAGGAGTCAAACCGTTCTTATTGAAACATCCGTCAGCGTTAACCAATGAAAAAAAAAAGCTTTTCACACTCCCCTTTTCTATACTGGTGATCTTTTACTTCATCCGGTTTTGATTCGAGTTACTTTCCCTGGATTCCTAACTCGGTAAGCTGATCTCTTTCATGCTGCTGTATTCATATATCATTGTTGCGATGGTGAACTGGCCCGTAATGGGAAACATTGGACAATCATATTCTACTGAACAAACTGAGCTAAATTACACCGCAACACACAATATAATAAAAATACTAAACAAAAAAAAATACAACAGAGTTGTTTGGTTTGGTCTGTTTCACTACACATCGACTCCTTATGGGTCATTTAATGCCTAAATTTAATTTTCTTGGGAGCTTTGATATTTTTTCTTTTACTACTATAATCAATTGCTGGAAATCTTTTCATAGCTAACAGGTACTACCACCCCGAGGTCGAGTTGTATGTTATTATATGTCTACACTGGTTTAGAAATAAGTCAAAGTGCTCGTTACTTTATGATACAAACGTCGACAGCAAGCAATGTAATTCTTTAAAATAGCAAACGTATATGTATGTGTACAACAAGCGTTATTAATACAATAACGGTCCAAAATCGCAAGAGGTGGTAATTCGTAAATTCCAAAAGAAAAGCTGTACAAGGTTTGTTTTAATTGAAAAGGTGTACGCTATAGGACTCAAAAAGAAAAGAAAAACGATGCTGATGCAGCTGATATCTACGGCTAAAAAATTGTATTGCACGCCACTATAGGCGGTTTACGGTCACATCACGTTGAAACAGCGCTTCCCGTACGATCACCGAAGTTAAGGAACGTCGACGATCGGTGAAAAATAAACACACTACCATTGACCGAATTTTAACTCGGTTTGCAGATTACATATTCGGACGAGTCCTGTAACATATTAAGCTCAATGGCGTACCACGTCCACTGCAGCCATAGCTCTGGCTTGGGTGGCAGT